GCTGGGGCTCCATAGAGCCTTGTACGTGTTCTACTTCCTCACTTTTACCCCATCTGTAAATATGTCACCTATGAAGAGACTCCTTTGTCTCACACTCTGCTCCCCACACAGTGTGGGTGTCTGCCCCCCCATGAGACAGGAAAACTGGGGATCCAAGAGGTGAGAGGACGTGCCCAAAGCCATGTGGCTCTTGTCTCTGCCCTCCAGAGTCTTGATAGGGGAAAGACTTTAAATTAGGAATCGTGAAAAGCTGAGGCAGGAGGAGTCCCTCTAGCTTTTGGCCAGCCTTGACTACCAAATGCTGCCATGCCTCAACACTCCCATCCAGACAGTCGTGCTGACACATGCTTGTAACCCTAGGCCCTGGGAAGTGGAGGCAAGAGGATCCAAAGTTGAAGAATATCTTCCAAAGCAGAACGAGTTACATAATGAGGCCAGCCTGAGCTACATGAGGCCACGTCTCAGGAAAAAAAAAAAAGTTCACTGTAACTGAATATGGAGATGTGGAGTGGTGTCTTATGGCAATACTGGGAGCAGAAGTGTGGCAGGCAGGGAGACCTTCCAGAGGAAGAGGCATAGGGACACTACCTCAAAAATGAGGATGAATAGACCGTCAGGCCCGCAAGGTCAGGCCTCATAGCTTCCTCGTCTCTCCACAGTCTTCCTGTCTGCTGGCCTGGGGGTACTTGCTCCCCCAGAGAACTACTCCCCACCTGTGAGCAGCACCAGCTGGGAGCCCCAGCTGGGGATGTCATTCCCATCAGGTCCCTGCACCATGTCCACAGAAGCCCAAGCCGTGGTAGAGCCCACTGAGCAGGGCCCCAAGAACCCACGTGTGTCCAGTGTGATGGTGCAGCTGGAGATGAAGCCACTGTGGGAAGAATTCAACCAACTGGGCACGGAAATGATCGTCACCAAGGCGGGCAGGTGTGGGCATGGACAGTGGGGGCTGGGCAGGGGCTGGGGCCACGGCCAGGCTGAGCACCTCCCTCCCACAGGAGGATGTTCCCCACCTTCCAGGTGAAGATCTTGGGCATGGACACACTGGCTGACTACGCTCTGCTCATGGACTTCATCCCCCTGGATGACAAGAGATACAGGTCTGGGCCCTGGGAGAACAGGGATGCTGAGGACACAAACTGGACTCCAAGGGCAGACAGGGTGATATGGAGCCCTTCTGAGTCCATGCCAGGGAGGCCTAGGCTAGAGCAACAGCAGAAGGAAGGCAGAAGGAAGCCCAGCATGGAGGGAATGGGCTAGCCTGAGGCAGGCACACACATACAGAATTAATTTAAAAACAAAGGATGCTCACCAGGCAGACTGAGCGTGCCCGGTCAGGATCAGACTCTTCACCATTCTCTTGGTCAGATTTGGCACTGAACAGGCTGGGGACAGCCCTTGACTTCTCACTCTGCTCCCCCAGGTATGCCTTCCACAGTTCTGCCTGGCTGGTGGCAGGCAAGGCTGACCCGGCCACACCTGGCAGAGTGCACTTCCACCCTGACTCGCCAGCCAAGGGTGCCCAGTGGATGCGACAGATTGTGTCCTTTGACAAACTCAAGCTGACCAACAACCTGATGGATGACAACGGCCACGTGAGGCGCAAGCCACTAAGCCATCAGAGGGAGGGGCTGAGCTAGTTGTAGCAGGGCTGATATGGTATTTAATTGGATATCTGAAGGAAGAGAGGGAGGAAGGGAAGGGGCGAGGGAAACTTTTTGAAGCCTAGGGGCACCCTGAGGCCAGAAAATACAGAGTGAGTTAGGAAACTGCAAGGAGACTCCCAGTGGGGCTGAAATGAAAACAAGGAAAGTGCTGGGTAGGCTGTCACACAGGCCAGGTGCTGAGGTAGAACCGTGGCTTTTCCTCTCTGTGGATGGGAGCAATAGGGGATTTAGAGCGGTATATTTGTCTTGCCCACCTGCTATGTGGAGACTGGGCAGGACAAGATGGGGAGCAGGCAGACCAGCCAGGATGCAGCTGAGATCACATCAAAGATGACCGGGGCCGGCTAACTTGATGATAGATGGAAGGTAGTGAGATTCTGAGTAGTTCTGAAGGCAAAAAACAGGTGGGCCATGGGCAAGAAGGGGCAGAATCTTGGGCCCAGGGAGGGTGGCTACTCCAGCTCTACCTCTGCACTCAGCTCTCACCCTTCTGCAGATCATTCTCAACTCCATGCACCGTTATCAGCCCCGTTTCCATGTGGTCTTCGTGGATCCACGAAAGGACAGTGCCCGCTATGCCCAAGAGAACTTCAAGTCATTTGTCTTCACAGAGACCCAGTTCACAGCTGTGACAGCCTATCAGAACCACCGGGTGGGTCATGCCAGAGCTCATGACCACCAGCCCATCTCTGAGGGGTGGAGACTGAGGCTGGAGGTTCCTCTTGTCCCCTGGACATCTGCCTTCATGCTGGCTCTGGAGGTCCTGGGCCAAGGGAGTCTGGGTCCTACTGACTGGAAGTTCCCAGGGAACAGAGAGGCTAAGTGTGAGCTTTTCAGGGCTTAATAGCTGGAGGCCAGCCCATAACTATACTTTCTCTTTGTAGATCACACAGCTGAAAATTGCCAGCAACCCCTTCGCCAAAGGCTTCAGAGAGAGTGACCCTGACTCATGGTACTATCTCACACATGCCTTCTTGCTCTAAGCCCAGCCCTGGCCCCAGACCCTAAGGCCTTCACTTCTGACCTGTTTCACGTCTGTGTCCTCTGGTTTGCCCTGGGATCCCCTATCTGACTCTGTGTTTGTGTGGCAGGGGGGGGGGTCTCCTTGGCCTCCTTCCCCATTCCTGCTTGGCCTATCTTCAGGCCTGTTTCCCCAAGGCCACTGCTCAGCATCCCAGCCCGGAGTCGTGGCAGCCTCAGTCACTGCCTGCTCAAAGGTTCTGCAGAACGAGAGAAAGGTGAGTGTCCAGCCCAAACACAATGACAGGCACACAGGCCTCCAGGAAAGGACTTCACTGTGATCAGCAATATCCCCACCCTCACCCCAACCTGGGCAGAAAGGCTCAGGGCAAAGAGAACAGGGCAGAGACAGGGTATAAAGCACAGGAGAGGTGCCTGGTGGGCTTCCTGGAGGGGGTGGATCCTAAGCTGGGCATTGAAGGTGGAAGCTCAGCTTGGAACTGAGAGAGGGTATTTGAAAAGTCCAGGCAGAGAAGATAATAAGGAGAAATACTGAAGTAGGCCAAGATGGGCAACCAGGGCCAAGGCAGACCCAGTAGGCCTCAGTATTAGGACTGGTGCTGTGAGGGAAATCTGCAGTCCACTTAAACCATTTTCTCCCTCAGAAGCCAGTAAAGCTTCAGCTTCCAACTCCAGGACCCCTACCCAGCCACACCATCAGCAGCTGCCTGTCCCAGAGGTCCTGCTGGCCCCTGCCACCTACAGGCCCCTCCCTTACCAGAACCTGTATCCTGGAGGCCCTGGCCATGTTGGAATCCCAAGGGCTCCGCTGGCACCATACCCTCTCCCCAGCATCGGCACTGATGGAGATCAGGAAGACCCCACCCTCCCAGCCGGGCTCGGGCTCCTGACTTCCTCTGCCTTGTGCTTGCGGTCTAGCCAAGACTCGCACTGATGGCCAAGTGCTTTGGAAGCCCTTTTACCCCAGCTCTCCTACACTCTTCTATAGAGACATCTTCTAAGGAACACAGGGCAACTGGAAACCCTGGTGGCGGTGGTTCCTGCCTCAAAGCCGATTTAGGGCCTGCCAGTCTTGGAATCAGGACTCCTACCCTGAAGCCCTGAATTCTGCCCCCCTGCCTCAAAGATGACTCCTCTACATCCTGTTTTGATTGTCCTTCCCCCATATTAAACTGCTTGATACCAGGGGTCAGAGCACTTCTGTCCACAGGAACGTCCAGACCAGACAGTCCTATCACCTTTGTAGGTATCCAAAAGCTGGACCTAGGAGCACAGGGAGGGTGATGGTAACAGTGATGACACACGCAAGGCTGCGCTTAGCCTGATGTGTCCCCTACTTTGCACATCCATTTAAGGTTGTGCAAAGTTACGGTTACGACCGGCTCAGAGAGGCTTCTGCTCACAGTCACACAGCAAAGTACAGCTGATACCTGTCACTCCATTTAAATGCTGTACTCCAAGGCTGCTCCTAGAGGCCATCGAGGGGTGCTTACTATGATTGGTTGGGATCACACAGGCCAGGGTAGGGATGGGTGTAGACTTGGAGAGCCAATCAAGGCCAGAGGGAAAAGTCCTGGTGGATAGGGGCTGGAGTCCTGCTCGATAGACGCTGGTGGGATAAGGCTGGGGGAGTGGGTGTCCCAGGAACCGGAGGACTCCGACTCTGCTCAACTCGGAGCTCTTCCTGTGAGACCTTCTGGAAAGCACCGTCACCCACAGGAATGAGAGACAAGGAGCCCAGCATATTTTCAGCAGCCAGACATCCCAACCCCTGAACCTGAAGTCAGGACCCATTCAGTTCAGGTCACCCAAGCATTCCGTAAACACAAAGACCAAAACAACCTGGCCGCACTGATAGGGAAGTCACGCCCCGGAAAGAAACTCAAGTCAAGCTGGCCCGCCTTTCTGGACACACCTCCACCAGCTCTAGGCCAGGTCTTTCCTTCAGGTGGCGCTCTGGTCCCGGCACGCAAAATCGCTTCTGCTCTCACCTAGCAAGCCCCGCCCCAGATGCCCCCAATCACCTTCGATGCCCAATAGCAGCAAACGCCGCCTTCACGCCCCCTGTGTGCCCCGCCCCGAAGC